GGGATTTGGGATTTGGGATTTTGGCATTTGGGATTTCGGCATTTGGATTTTGAATTTGGGTGGCAGGTATAATATATGGGACAAAGGTTATGCTTTAACTGGTCCATTTTAATATAAAATTGATGTAGAACATCATGATCAAGTTCATTAAGTGTAGTCATGTTAATTTGAAGTTGAGGTTAACTGAGTTTTTGTGAATGAATATTATTGGTTCGTTGTTCATCAATAAAATTCAATGCATTTCTATAGGATGTTTGCTAACTGCTATCATTTTGACAATTTTCACCTTCACATTTTCACCTTTGACATTTTTGTTTTCTAATGACAAGATGCATTATGCATTCTTCAGTAGTTTCCTTGTCCTTTTTTCACGTTTCTTTTCACTATCTTGAGATAGTTGTGTCCTTCATTGATAGGGTATTTCATTCATTCTTCTTTTACATTTTCTTTGGATATCATGAGAAGCATTTTGATTTGCCATTTTCTTTACCACAAAAATCACAAATAAGTATCAAATAGTTTATTTATTATAATTTAATGATATTTGTATTCTTTAATAATTAATCAACTTATTTTTAAAGTCCAGGTCAAGACCAAATTGATTAAGGAAACAAATTATAACCTAACTATCTGTAACACCAACTCAAATTACTTGCTGCAAAACTTTTATTTCGTCTTTGCCAATCTGTTTTTATCACAAGTTCACAATCTAATTGGTTGGTCAACATGTTGTCACTGTTGCACAGAATATTAAACAAAAAAATAATTATTTCTGGGAACACGTTATTCACATGAATCACAGAGATAATCCAGAGGGCGATGTGCTATAATCAAACAATTAGTTGATCTAAATTAAAAAATTAAATAATTTTTTATTATAAATACATTTGCAATGAATTTTTAAATTTGAAGTAATAAAATCAAAAGAAACTTTTAAAACCATGAAAAAATATTTTATTGTTAACTTATTTAATTTTATTTAAATTTTATTTAATCTATTTAAATTTTATTTAATTTATTTAAATTATATTTAAATTTGAACATTATAATATGATACATTGATTCAATATAAAATTTGAAAGAAATGAAAATAATTGTCAATTGAATAGTATAATACATTGATTCAAAATCAAATAACTTAATTAATATAATCAAATTTTAAAGAAAGAAATAAAAATAAATTGTTGCTCCGGGTTACACCATTTCCTAGTATAATAAAATAATTATAAATATTGTTGTCAATAAAATTATACGAAAATCATTAACGTGATATCCCGTGATAACCAATCTGCTTTAAACATGAATGAAAAGGCAAAAATTGAGAGCCAGAGCTAAATACTTTGTTCAATTTCAATGAGCATAATTTTTTTTGATTATATTAGTTTATAATATTTAACAATATATTTTTACATTTATAATTTTTCATTTTTTTTTGATTAATTAGTTTATCGATACTATATAGAATGTAACTTTTCATATTACTTGGGTAACTGCGTATAGTTAAAACAGTTAAAACACTGGAGAATTAACAATAAATAGATTATCCTCTTCTCTCTTGATCCACCTTAACAACGCATGTGAAGAAGAAGTCAATGCTGATTTTGATATAAGTGGACCGAATGCTGCATATAACTCAAAACTTGAAGTTATCTTTTTGTTATAAAAATCTCTTAGCGTCTGAAAAGAAGGTAAATAATATGGACACTATGATAACTTTTTTTAAAAAAAAAAAACTTACCCATCCCAATATTGTTTCCGATGGGCCCACATAATAATGAACTTTGAGAGATCTCACCCGAGAGTGCATCCGATCATGTGTATAGCGATATAATTTGAACAATCTAAATAAAACAACTAAATTCTGTAAGAAAAGAATGAAAAACATTAAGGCAATGCAATTATGTAAGAACATACATTTGTCGTTCTTGAGGATTGCAATATGGCTCCACAAAAGTTGGTGATGTATATTGTACGTGCGTTCTTGATTTGTAAATAAAGTGACGCAGCCCGGGGACACCTACATCAGCTAAATAAAACCAATTATATGATAATTAAATATGGATATAATTACATTTACTTGTAAATAAAGCTTTTAACCAACTAACCAATTGAATAACCATCGCATCGTAACGTTTCTTCTAAATCTTGTAATATGTTGTTCATTGAAATTTGCTAAATAAAAATAAATAAAGATAGATAATCAAAAGTGACAACCCTAAAAATAAAAGAAATATAGGAATAAAAGAATAGACAATACCTCTACTATAATACTTTTGGCTTCTGATAGCTCAAAAAATTTGTCTTTGTCAGGTGAAATTAAAAGCAAACAAACATTGGTAGCGATATAGCATACATATGCATATAGGAAACCTTTATTATTGAATTTTGGAAGGCATATAGGTGTCCACGATTCTGCTGATCTAAAAGTCGAAGACCCATTGACCATATTGAAAACCAAGTGTAAATCTATAAAAATGAATAAAAATTTATATATGCCTTTGATGTTTTGAATAAAAAGAATGTCTCACCTGCGGGATGAAGACTGTGTTTTTTAGGTCTCAATAGGGTTATTAATTTTCTATTTGTTATTAACATTGCGTACAGAAGATCCTGTTAAAAAGAATGAAAAATAAATTTTAAGATTGAATTAAATTGAATTCATTGAATTCATTAGAATGGAAATTTTAAACCCGAAAAATTTTAACCTTAGATTTAACCGATTGCATTATGTTTCCTATTTTGTCACGTAAATCTTTATTCATTCGCACACATTGTATTGAACCAAGCATAAAACCTGGTTCGTCACTCATGGACGTAGCAAGATTATCCAAAAAAGGTTCAGTACCTAAAATTTATAACATTATTAAAATTTAGTAGTTTAATAAATTCAATAAAATTCATTTTATCCTATAATAATTTCTAAAAAGAATAATTTATTCAACCTCCCAATAATCTGCGCAGATCAAAATTAATTCTTTGTTCAAAGATCTTTGTCAATTGTGTAGAAGTTAATATGCTCAAAATTTGATTATATAAATAATTCAATTGATCCCTAAGCTAATTTTAAATAAATTTATTTGATTTTAAAATAAATATAGTAAATATATAAAGGTGTTTAAGTAAAATGACATCTACGTCCAAACGAAAACTTGTGATATGAAAATTTTAAATACTTGAGCCTCGGATTCGTTTGTTCGTGATACAGCAACGAGATATAAAGGTCCTTTAAGTAAGAATACAAATCTATGTTGTCCCGCATTTATACATCTTAAATGTTTAAAGAAAATATTTTTGGTATTTATATTATTTAGACAATAATATATTTAAAGAATTAATTTAAGAATTTAAAGAATTACCTTATTGTATCATCAGAATCAGCAAAAAATGAAACAATTGCCTGAATTACACCCATATAACTCGATATTCTGGATTCGTCCCCATATCTAAAATTTTATTTTTATTTATTTTTTTTCTATTTTTTTTTTTTTTTTTTTTTCTTTTTCAAAAATATAAATTCTAATCGTATTTCTATTGACCATTGATAATATTTGTGAAACTTTTACCGCGTGTAAATAGGTTTTCCAGCACTACTTAGAATAAAGAAATGTTTTCTGTGACGTGTCCAGTTAGTGGATTGGGGATCTATTTTTATACAAAGTGCTTAATCAAAAATTCTCTCAATTGCAACGATAATCAATTATATACTGCAAACATTTTCAACCTTCATTTCCGTATTTGCGGCGATAGCCTGTACATTCTTCGTTGATTGAAATCAATGAGTTATTTGGACTTCGTAGCAGGGGTTTTCCACAATTATTTTCCAATGAAATATCTGAATCTAAATATTTTTAAAATAATAGATTAGATCTAAAATTCTTATATTTAAATGTTATGAATAGTAGATTGTAGAAACCTATATATGAATCGGCTTGTTCTATTCCTTCTCCTTCACTTTCGGTTTCATTATCTGAATCGATTTCTTTCCTTTGAGCGTTACCAAAAGTAGAAAGAAACTTATTTATATGAAGTTCATTTGAATTAGATCTGTTCATGAGACCTAACAATATATCATCCACACTGCCTTCTTTTGGTCGAACTTCGCCACAAACTCCAATTTCTATTTTATTGGAAATTGCGTTGAAACTTTTTACCGAAGATCCTGCAGAAGAAGAACTATACGTTGTTGGTGAAGAAATGTCTAAAGTAAGTTGAGTTGTTGGCTTGGCTTTTAATAAACTATATTTTCGTTGAGGCTGCAATGTGGGGGACAGTGGCTCATCTGATGTAAGTGTACTATTAGAATCAGAAAGAAAATCTTCCACGATTGGGGACATAGGTGACAAATTCGGACTTCGAAGAGAAGAATACGCCATTTTGACTTTTTGAATAAACAATTTCTCGGGAAATATGGTAACATTAAAATCACGTTTTTGTCATATGGTTGGTTACATAATTCCCAAATGATATATAAACTGAAATTTGACATTTTTTTTTTTACGTGTCATGTTTCCCAGTGCTTTTGGAAATACAGGTCCTTCTGGTGGTTTTGGAACTTCACTTCCTGGAGGTGGATTTGGAGGTAATCAACCTATTCAACCTGCAGTTCCATTCGGAAACACATCAACAGCCGGATTTGGAGGTGGTTTTGGTACAGTAAATACAAATACTAATGCAGCACCCACGTTTGGGTTTTCGGTAAATCAAACAAGTACACCTTTTGGATTTGGTGGAAATTTTAGCCAACCTCAAACAAGTGCACCTTTTGGATTCGGTGGAAATTTTAGTCAACCTTCCGTCTCAAATGTAGGAAATTTTGGTTTTGGTCGCGGAGCACAACAAACTCAACCTTCTGGCTTTGGACTTTTTCAACCAACCACGTCAAAACCTTCGGGATTTGGCTTTGGTGGTGGTGTACAACCCGTTCAGCCTAATATCTTTGGGGCACAAACTACAACTACGAATCCTTTTGGCTCGACACAATCAGTGCCAAATGCACCTGTTTTTGGTTTGGATATATTTCGTAGTTTTTCTTTTGGGAGAATATTCAATTATTTATTATTCATTAATTATTAAAAAATATATATAAAAATATTATAAATGTCGATAGCGCAAAGATCTTTTGGATTTACAAGTTCGCAACCACAAACACAAACACAAATCGGAACGATTTCACAAACTGGAACGATTTCACAACAACAATCATCAAGTAATTAATATTATTTTTTTTTTTATTAAATTATTCGAAAATACAGTAATATTTATAAGTTGGAATTATTTTTAAAATTTAAGCTCCACAACAAATGACAACTTATGAAGAGTTATCACGACTAATAAATGCCTGGAACACTGAGAGCCCAGAATGTCAATTTCAGGTGAGAAATAAGTAAAATAAGTGAAATAAGTGAAATAGGTTCGTTGCGATTTGACAAAATTGACAAGATGATATCTAATCTAATCTAAATTGCTTTCTTTTTTATATCGAAAAGAGTTACTTTTATAATATGGTTCATCCGGATGTAGTGCAATTGTATACTCCACCACCCAATATGCCACAGAGTCTTTGGAATGAGGCACAATTAAATAATCCAGATAGGACGATGTACGTCGATATATGCTTCAAAGATTAATATTGATATGATATTGTTGGATTTTTTAAAAAAAAAAAACTTTTCTATAAATAGTTTAGTTCCTGCCCGGGTGGCTGGATTCGATGATATTAAAAAAAGGCTTGAAATGCAAGAAGTAATCACAGCCAAAGCTATTGCAAAATTTAAGGTTTTAGTATTTAATTTAATAGTTTAATTATCTTTTACCGGAAATATAAATCCATTTCACAAGTAACAAGTAAAATTGGGAATTCCTTTTATAGGAATACAGTGAACAACTTGAAGAGATGGAACGTAAACATAATTTGGAAACTTTAGTGAGAATAGAAGATCGCAAAAGAAAACATATTGAGTTGACGCAACGAGTTATAAAGGTTAGAAGATTGAGAGCAATATAAATTATGTAAATTTATATTTAAATAAAATTTATCGCATTGAAATAGTTAATGAGACAGATCCAAGTGTTAAGACTCAAAGGAACATTAATACGTTCAGATGAAGAAGATTTAAAAGGACGATTAGAAGAAATTAAACAACACTTAGAAAGACCAAATCTTAAACTTGCAATGCTTAAAACGCAATACGGAGTAACCAAAACACAGTGGAGTTCCAGAGAGTCGTTAATTACTCACAAATTCAATGCAGTAGACGGGAATCAATTAGAGAATATTATAAAAGTAAGCGGAAGAATAAAATTTATTAAAACAATTTTCTTTATAACATCATAATAACATGATATTTACGTCATATTCAGGTACTTGATGTTGAACAAACTGGAATAGTTCACGATATTGAGACATTGAAAAAAGATTCTAAAGACATTGATATAATTATTCGTAGTTTCAAGGATACAAAATAAATTACAATGTAAAACAAATACTTATGGATATGAAAATGTGTATAATGATTGATTTTTATTTCACAATTATTTCTTTAATGTTTGTTGAATTTTCAATAATAAAATGAAGAATAATCATATATAAATGAAATGAATTTTTTTTTTTCGAGTTTTGACTTGAATTTTCCACGGTAAAATTGTAACTTGTATAATATAATTTGCAAAAAAGAAGAGAAATAATGATTCCGTTGAAAATATCAAACATAATATTCATTTTGATATAGATAATATTCGATATTACTAATCCATATTATAAAAAGCGAGTACACTATACAAAAAAAGTTATCTTAAAATGTCTAGGAAAGAAGCAGAAATTTTCATACGTTCAAAATATCTTATAATATATTTTATATATTTTATTATTATATCTAAATCTAATTTCAAATAATGATATACTAAAAAAATCCTAATCCAGGAGTTGGAATTGTATTGTTAGTAGTTTCGTTCTCGCGATTTGGAACGCCAATACCTCGACAAATAGGACATTTATTTGATCCTTCAGTAAGCCACTATACAAATAAATAAATTAATGTGAAAATGTTTAGAAAATCTATATATTATTTATTTAAATATTGGTTTCCCTACTGAAAAACTGACCTTATCAATACATTCCCGATGGAAGCCATGCTGACAATTAAGTACTCTTAATTCATCATTGGCGACATAATCACATAAACATACCTGACATTTCTCGGAATTACCTAAAAGAACATATTCATTCACTCCTCGAATATTCTCATTGTATAGAACAACTGGTAAATTTTCATCAATTTCACGTTGTGTCGTAGTAGGTGGTCTTGCTGGTCCAATAAGTGATGACAGTAATAACATATCTTCATATGTAGGATTATCAGAAAATAATGATGGTGTGGTAAGAAGTGGATGAGTGGATGGATATGTGCCACCTAAAACATATATGATCCATGAACGAGGCGGTGGTGTTTGAGTACCAGTAGTCGTTGTCGTCCTTGCTGATGTGTGATTTGATGACGTTGATGTCGCTGAACGTGCCCGGGAAAATCGGCTGTCTGGTATATTTCGATTTTCCATATTTGGAACATTATTTTCGTTTTGTTGTGAGCCATTAGCATTACTTCCATTAAGGTCATCGCGTGGTGAGACGCTTCTAATTCCAATAATGATAACCGGAACCATTTGCGGTCCATTATTAGAATTATTACCATTATTAATATTATTAACATTATTAACATTATTAACATTATTAACATTAGTTGTATTTGTTTCATCTTCCCTTGTGAAAGGTGTAGATGTAGATGTAGTTGTGCTTGTTTCGTTTGTAGAATTTTGTGATGTAGATGAAGTACGAGATCCTCCAAAACGAAACAAACGAAAAAATGACATTGGTTGTGAAGACTGCGTATTAGACGCATTACCTTCAGTAGATGTAGGCGTTGTAGGTGATATAGGCGTTGTAGGCGATATAGGCGTTGTTGTAGACGATGTTGACTGTTCGTCAGGTGATATTGACCCATTTGATGTCGTTTGATTTGCAGGTCTGTTTGAAGCTTCTCGACGTCTCCTTTGAAGTGCAGCCAAGAAACTTTCAAAACTCCCATCATGTCCTTCATTTGCAGCGCGTTCTGCTTCAATTACTGCATTTTCCTGACTCGCAACAAGGGAAGCTGCTGTTGCTGCTGCTGCTATAGATAATAAACGACCCAAAACTTGATTTTCTGTATCATTTTCTTCATTATTTGTATTGGTATTATTATTATTGTTATTTTCAGACTCTGATCCAATATTAAATAATCTTCGTGCAGAAATGCGAGTTACCCTTCGTCTCAAACGTTGAGTTGACGCTGTTGCATGATCTGTTTGAGTACCAGCAGTTGATGAATTCATGCTTATATCAGCAGAGACATTACCTGATGATGTGTCAGATGAATGTGAATGTATAGATGTTCCTCTATTGGAACTAGATCTACGTGGTCGATCAAAAACACGGATATTTGACCCATTTGACCTTGTTATCTCCTCATCCAAATTACCATTTACAATTGTATCAATAGTAGTGGACCGGTCTGTGGTCTGGAAATAACGATTATTATCATCAGTAATAATTGATTCTGTTCTATCCGTCATATCTTCGTCGTTCCCATTATAACTAGAAGATCTCGTTCGACTCCTTCGTAATATATTCGGCGAAATTGCGTCAGTTTGTCTAGGTGTCAAAGATACATCTTCCCCTGAATTTTGATGAAGTCGTTGAAGACGGGTAAGCGGTCTACTCAAAGGAATCTGGGTTTGGTTAATAGTGGTCGCAGATGGAAAAAAAGGATGTAAACTGGAAAGCTGTCGCCTGCGCCTTGCTGGTGTCATGCGCAGAACTCTGGGAGAGCCGTTCTGAGGGACATGTTCAAATGCTGTTTGTGAAAGTTGAGCATGATCTTGAGAGAGAACTCTGTTAGCTTGAGAGTGAGGTAAAGAATAAGAAGTGGAACCATTCTGATTACTATGGTTATATTCTGAATCGTCGACATCTTCAACATTTGTTTCAGAATCATCAACCATTATAACATCTCCATCTTGATCTTGATTATTTGCAGAAGAGGAAAGACTCTGACCCATGTTTTTTAACAACTGATTTTTGAAGTGAAAATATTGTTAACCGCCTCATTATGTCTCCATTGGGATACCACATTATCCAATAATAATCATTTTTGGATGTTATCCAATCACAACAAATTAAATCTAATAAATCTAATGAAAAAATAATATATACATTTTTTTATTCTTTTCATAATTTATAATTTATAAAAAAAAATAAATTTTTAAAAATTTATAAAATGATTATGATAAAATGCTGAAATATTATTAATTTTTACAAACCAAAATCAAGAGAATATAAAGAATTTAAAGAATACTATGTTTAAATAATGATTAATGCTATCAATATAAAATCAGAAATCTTTTATATTTTTTTATATTAAAGAATTTAAAGTTTATCTAATAAAATGACATATAAAATGTAGAAACTTTCACTGGAGTAAAAATTGTACCTTAAAGGGAATACATAAAATATATAAGTTACTTGAATATTTCAATTGTAGATTTCTAAGCCGACCTTAAAACATTAACTTGGCTAAATCGGCTTAGCCGGCTTAGTCGACCAAATCTAAAAATTTTCCTAATATAGATATAAAACTTTATGAGCAAAGGATTAAATCACACGTTTAGGTCTTCTCTTATTCAAAAGACATGTGCTTGAACAAAAATTACTTTTTTAAAACGTAAATAACGCAAAATTTTATTATAAAAACCTGTTTTGAGTCATTAATTAAAGTTGTTAAAAATCAAATTTTACATATATTTACAAAATTTAAATATATATTTATAAGTTGATTAAGGGTACGTGACGTTGTAAACACTATTTATGTTTTTTTGAAATATTTTGTTTTTGAGAGATTTACTCAGAATCTATTCTATATATGGAAGTAAAATAATTACCTAGTTAAGTGTATCTTTAATCAAGGATTTTATTGGGTAATCAAAAAATTTTGAATTTTAAGTAAAATAATTTTGTCTTGTATAAAAAACTATTTTGATTTTTTTCTTGATTTTTTCAATAAATATTAAACAAGTTTATCCTGAAATTGTAATTTTGAACCAAAATAATTTTGTGTGCAAATATAGTAAACACTAATTTTGAAAGTTCTTAGCACTGGTTAAATACAGAAGAATCATTGGCACAAATTGAAATTCTTAATCATAAATCAATTAAAAATTAATATAAATTAATCATAAAATCAACTGTTTTATTTATTCCTTTTCAGTTTACCTATTCTTTTATATTTGATTTGTATACACTATTCAAATACAAAAGGATCACTGTATCAAATGGTAATTCATATATTATAAATTAGTTAAAATTGGAATTCCTATATCATAGACTAACTAAGATTAACTATCTTATTTTATCTTATATTATAAATTAGCTAAAATTAAAATTCCTATTTGCATTATCTATTCTTTTGTATTTGTCTATAGTAAACATGACAACTTTGTGTATATTATTATTTGTTTAAACATTTGATTAATTACAAATTAAAATTAATAAAATTTAGATCTAGGTTATAAAATAAGAAAATTTAACTTGAACTTTCAAGATCTAAACTATATTTATATGTAAAATAAATTATCATAATAAGTTGAAATATTCTGAAAACAAAAGTCAAAATAGTTTTTTATAGAAGATAATTTAATTTACTTAAAACTTAAAATTTTTAACCATTGTCACCAGTGGTTTCTGATTTTCTTAAAGTTAAACTAGTAAAGTAACTTAATGGTTTTTTTAAGGAGTTTATAGCTCTTTTCCAAAGGTAAGACTGTTGTTCAATTGTTTTAGAAAGTACCACTGATTCAATTATTTTAGAAAAGGAATCAGACCTTTCATCCAATTTATTTTAATATCTTTCAAGTTCATCATTACTTTTAATATTAATATCTATTTATTTATTATTTTTCAGTTTTATTATATTTGAATATTACTTCCATTTATTCAGGCTAAGTATTATTCCAATTCTAGGATTTGTAATAATAATTTGTATTAATTTCATTAACTCAAGAATAATAATATTATACAATTATACAATCAAGTATTTAATTCTATAATTTCCATTATTCTTTTATTAATTATTATATCTTATATTTAATAATTATTTTTATAACTTTTATTTTATATTTCCAATATTTATTATTTTATTAATCCAATTGCAGAATAATTTTTACAAGTGTTTATTTTAAGTTATAAATTATAAAATTAAATTTATTAATTGCAAATAAGTTACAAATTATTAAAATTTAAAATTAAAAAATTGTAAACTAGAAAGGAGCAAAGTAAATTCAATCTCTTTTTATACTTAAATCTAATGATCTTCATTACTGTGTCACTATCATGCCTTACTGTATACTACTTTTATTGATTACTATTTCTTCATATTATTTACTAAATATATTTAATACTAATTGATAATAGATATTAATTATACATGCCACCCAAATTCCAAAATAATTTGAGATTTGGGTAATAGAATAGGTTCAAATTATTTGAACTTCAAAGGTCAAAAAAACCCAAAGCCCAAATTATTTTTGGCAGCCCAAATTATTTTTGGTAGCTCAAATTATTTTTGGCAGCTCAAATTATTTTTGGTAGCTCAAATTATTTTTGGTAGCTCAAATTATTTTTGTCAGTTCAAATTATTTTTGACAGTTCAAATTATTTTTGACAGTTCAAATTATTTTTGGCAGTGGAAAAAAATATTTGAAACCAATTACTTATTTAAAATTTGTGACACAATAGATCTGATAATTATTTTTTATTAAATTT